TATTTCCCTGAATATCCCAACAAGGCTCTAGAACACAGACACACATTCAGACGCCCCACAATGATAGTATTTCTCGACCTTAAGGCAGCATTCGACTCTGTCGATCGTAAGGTTCTACGGCAGTGTTTGTCATTGAAAGGAGTACCAAAGAAGTACATTAACTTTGTAAAGGCTCTCTACTCGAATACAACCGGTCAGGTGAGAGCTTATGGCGAACTGTCATTAGAATTGATTACCTCAAATGGTGTTCGTCAGGGCTATCCACTCTCTCCATTCTTGTTTAACTTCATCATAGACCTATTGATAGTAATAACATTCTCGTCGACTGAATTCTCGGGTATTGATCTCCTACCAGGAGGTCCACTTATCGACTTAGAATACGCAGATGATATAGTCCTGTTTGGTGAAGACGCTGATAAAATGCAGAGTCTTCTGGTAGCACTAAGCAACAATGCCAGAATGTTTGGGATGCGCTTCTCTCCCTCTAAATGCAAGTTGTTGCTTCAGGACTGGTCTGCGTCAACACCTGAACTAAGAATAGGGAGTGAAGTAGTCGAACACGTCGACAACTTCACTTATCTTGGAAGTCTGATCAGCCCTAATGGGTTGATGTCTGACGAAATCTCAGCACGGATTCGAAAAGCTCGTTTGGCTTTTGCCAACTTACGTCACCTGTGGCGAAGGCGAGATATCCGTCTATCAATAAAAGGACGAGTATACTGCGCGGTATTTCGTTCTGTTTTACTTTACGGCAGCGAAACATGGCCACTAAGAGTTGAAGATACTCGTAAGCTACGAGTATTTGAGCACAGATGCCTTAGAAATATTGCCCACATCTGCTGGGATCACCGGGTAAGTAATAGTAAGGTTAGACGCAGGGTATTAGGGAATGATGGTAAATCAGTTGATGAGGTTATGAATCTTCATCGACTGAGATGGTTGAACCACGTGTTACGTATGCCTGAACACCGATTACCAAGACGCGCAATGCTAACCAGTGTTCGGAATGGTTGGAAGAAAGTTAGGGGCGACCAAACCAAAGCGTGGCATCAGTGCTTGATTTCACGAACTTCTAGTCTTAGCCATGTTGGTAGATGCAGACTGCTTGGTTGGGGTCCGCGTGACTTTGGTAACCAATGGTTGGAGACTCTTGGTGACATGGCTCAGAGTCGATCACAATGGCGTCGGTGTATACACTCTCTGTCTTCCCTTAAACTAAGAGATTAAGATCGCTTCATATCTTTCTTTCTACCAACCAATTCTTTCTTCTTGTACTATATCTCTATATGCAATCTTTCTCTTATATATTACCACCTTTGACCTAACCACTGCTATGAATCCGGTGTTCATCTCGTTGTGCTGATGCGGTATGGCAACCTGGACCGATACACATATGTGCCTGGTCCTACGTTGTAGCTGACTGACTACTGGACGTAGGAAAGACGCTGCAAGTAAACCTCTTAGGGCTCTACTTACTGAGAGTCAAGCTAAGAGTATGTTTCAGGAACAACTAGGAAAACAGTTGGGCAGCCATGTATGTGATGCCCACCCCGATGCAGCATGGAATGATATCCAAAAAGCTGTGGAAACAGCAGTGATATCTGCTAGTAAGGTAAACCAGAAGGTTAGGGAGAAACACTGGATCTCAGCAGCACCTATCGCACTGATAGATGCTCGGGAACTCATTCCATCTGGCTCTGGACATAATGAAGAGCGGAGTCAGCTTAAGCGCAAGCTGATAAGAAGTTTACGCAATCATCGTGAACAGTGGTGGGTGGCGAAAGCAAGAGAGATGAAAAAGGCAATAGGTAATAGCAGACAATTGTTCAGACTTGTTAATGAAATCGATATTAGGAATCCAACTGTTAGCAAAACAATTTCAGAGAAAGATGGACATATTATACATTCTCAATTCAGGAGATTGGATCGATGGGCAGAACACTTTAGGGATCAATTCAACTGGCCTTCAGCCACACTTCGATTTCCCACGATCTCCAGTCAACCTGAATAGCAAGTTAATTTAGGTCCTCTGTCTCTTTACGAAGTTGAAAAAGCCATAGGAAATCTGAAGCGATGGAGAGCAGCAGGCCCTGACAGGTTCACTCCTGAGATTTTTAAGGATGGTGGTTCAGTATTAGCAGTGAGATTAACTGAGGTCTTAGGTAGAATTTGGGAACTGGACCTAATCCCATCTGACTGGTCTCAATCACTGATTGTGCCAGTCTATAAGAAAGGACAAAAGTCCTCTTGTGACAATCACAGGGGAATCAGTTTGGCTTATATAGTGTCTAAAATATTAGCTTCAATAATACTTCGACGCCTAACTAAAGCTCGTGAAGATCAGACTAGAGAAAATCAGTCTGATTTTTGACCTGGACGTGGTTGTATAGACCACATATCCACACAACGTCAGGCTTGTTATAACGTGAAAAATAATGCTGCTGATTAAGGGGTAGCGAATTATTGATCGGACCAGAGACGCACAAACACGTAGAACGACCTAGGGTTCTGATTGGCCTCGCTTCCCAGTCTAGCCCAGCCAGTCGAGTTCAGAACACAAGTTTCAGCCTCGGATTTATGAATCATTATATTTCAAACATACTTTGTTTATATACCAGTCAAGCAGTCCACAACGTACCATAAAATAGAAGATAACATTGTACAATAATGGCCAACAGGAAAATAACACGTTAAATAACTATTGACCAATAAGATGATACCATTTCATGTCCAAGGATAGCATTAGGCTTAACAGGATAATTTTTGGGATATTTCCCTGAATATCCCAACAAGGCTCTAGAACACAGACACACATTCAGACGCCCCACAATGATAGTATTTCTCGACCTTAAGGCAGCATTCGACTCTGTCGATCGTAAGGTTCTACGGCAGTGTTTGTCATTGAAAGGAGTACCAAAGAAGTACATTAACTTTGTAAAGGCTCTCTACTCGAATACAACCGGTCAGGTGAGAGCTTATGGCGAACTGTCATTAGAATTGATTACCTCAAATGGTGTTCGTCAGGGCTATCCACTCTCTCCATTCTTGTTTAACTTTGTCATTGACGTACTTTTAGAGATAACACTTTCCTCATCTAAATTTCCAGGGGTTGAATTTCAACCAGGAGATTCACTTGTTGACTTGGAATATGCTGATGATATAGTTCTATTTGGTGAAGACGCTGACAAAATGCAGAGTCTTCTGACCACTCTAAGCAACAATGTAAGCATGTTCGGCATGCGATTCTCCCCCTCGAAATGCAAAATGTTGCTTCAGGATTGGGTTGCATTGACACTCGAAATAATGATAGGGAGTGAAGTAATTGAGCGTGTCGATCGCTTCACTTATCTTGGAAGTCTCATCAGCCTTTGTGGTCTTGTGTGTGACGAAATCTCAGCAGATACAGAAGGCTCGACTAGCTTTCACCAACTTGCGTCATTTATGGCGTAGGCGAGATATCCGTCTATCAACCAAAGGACGGGTTTACTGTGCAGCAGTTTGTTCCGTCCTACTTTATGGCAGTGAAACATGGGCGGTAAGAGTAGATGATATCCGTAGGTTACTAGTATTTGATCATAGGTGTCTTCGAAATATTGCTCGTATATCCTGGGACCATGGAGTAAGTAACGGAGTTGTTAGGAAACGGGTACTAGACAAGGATGGCAAATCAATTGATGACGTAGTGAAACTTCATCAGTTGAGATGGCTGGGACACGTGTTACGTATGCCCAACCATCAACTGCTCCGACATACGATATTTTATGGTGTAGTAGTAGGTTGGAAGAAATTTAGGGGCGGCCAGACCAAAACATGGCACAAGTCCATGAAGTCACTGACAAGTGGACTGAGTCATGTTGGTAGATGTAGACTATCTGGTTGGGGACTGCGAGATGATAGCAACCGATAGTTAGAGACCCTAAAAGACATGGCTCAAAATCGTTTGCAATGGCGCAGGTGCATACACTCTTTGTGTTCTCCTGAATTTTGATCTCCTTATTCCTCCTTGTCTCTTTTTTTCTCTTCCCAAACTTATTTCACTGTATTATACTCTTTAAATAACACCTACAAGCACTAATCTTCCCGATTACTACTTATACTCTTATTACCTCCACCAGAACGGGATTTAAATCGGTCACTAAATCTGTGTGCTAATGTGGTGTGGCAAGTCGAAATGATGTACGTACGTACAAAGTACTACGTTGTTACTGACAGACTGACTGAAGATCTTTCTGTCAAATTAACTGCTTAATTTTAAATTTTTTGCCAATTAGTCGATATAAAAGTAAATTTGGTGTTTTTCAGACTAAACGGTGCCCGATCTAATCTGATTGGTAAATAAGCTGATTGCCTTTTCATCAGTGCAAACAAAACCTTGGAACTTTCTAGTTATTTAACGACTGGGATAAAGTACGTACCTGTTATTGTGAAAAAATACACTTTGGTTTGTACAAACTAATTAACACACAACTTGAACGCAAATAGTTATTTAGCGGGAAAGACCTGACATCTTCAAAACTTTACACTTTTAACAAGTAGTGATGATAAAACATCGGGTTATTAACTCATTCATTCTCTATCTCTCATCGACACGCCCTCATTCCGCTTATTTTTTTCCACATATGATGATTTGGATTGAACTAGTCTTCAATAAAATGATTAGTATTCAACCAGTCTAGATATACAACTTACAGAAAATAACCATTGTTAATTATATAAATTTTGTACAACGCTAAAATATGAGTGAGAACTTAGTAGCCGAACCAATTAGCTTTCACAATCATTGACTTTTAGGTTTGGATATCAAATATAGGCCTTATCTACTTCGATCTGAACTACATACCATACATCAGGTGGTGACTTAAAACCGAATACACTTTAATTATCTAGTCGTACCGTAGAAAAAAAATTTAAAAAAACCTTAAATAGTGTTTGAATCTCTAACATATACTAAGTAAACCTTCAACTGTATTTTTCTTACAAAAAATAATACACAAACTTACTATTGTGAAAGTAACTGTTAACTGTGGAACAACAGGACCCAAGTGTTGGCGTCTCCTTATTGGGGGTCGATTTTGTTTATCGGAAAATTGATGTAAAGTGCACACAATCTGAAAATAAACAAGCAAGAAGTAACAAAATTAGGGAACGGATACATTAAACGAGCTTATAATGGTTAGTGAAAAAAATGAAAAAGGAGTTTTTTATGTAGTGTGTGCGGTAAAGATTGGACTTGAGAACAAAATTCAGATATTTAAGGGATATTTTGAAGTATTTTTTGTCTGGAGTTTATCGCAGATTTTTACAAGTCAGAGTATTAAATCAACTTGACCTTGATACGATATATAATCCCAGTTGTTTAGGTACGACTAGTGTGTAGCTCACAACCTACTTGTGTCTATATGAATGCAAAGATGTAACATATTTAATTCAATTTGAAGTGGTTTGGATTATCCCGTTGTTTATATTTTTGACTGAAATTTGATTAGTTTTGGTTTCAGTAGTCAAGTGTATAACCCGATGTAGTTTGAAGCAAATCGTGCTGGGTTTGAGTGCCCGAGTAAACATCAAATCTGGGTTGCAGGTGCAACCAGCTAACGACTCCCAAATAGGACAAAACGCACGTTCTGGATTCCACTACCAGCCACATCCTATCTATTCTGTGTAATTAAACAATAGGTTACCTAAAAACCATTTACTTATTCTGAATATCTTGACAAAGAATGCTAATAAAGATAACAGCTAAAATGATCAATTAGACTATCAATACTCCTAATTCTGTAATTTCTGGGCGCACAGTTATAAAGGTAGGTGTATAAAATAATAAAATTTTGTTAAGTTCAACACGATCGATAACTGCAAGTTAAATATGTCCCATGGTTTGGTCTGATGATTGGTACTTTCAACACTTGTTTAATCGAATTATTTTGAGAAATAAGAGCACCATTGCTTACAAGTTGCAATTGGACATATTATAGGCAATCGAAGTGTCATAAATAGTATTTATATGAGTAGTGATTTCTTGAATAGGTGAGGACGAACTTGACGAGACTAGAAATTACTCTATCAGCATAAACGTGTTTACAGTAGGAATGAAGTGATTTGACGGCTAAAGCATTCGATTTACTATTGACAAGATGTTCGAACCATGCTCCATCAACATTGATTTGGACAGACAATTAGTATCAGTAGTCCTCATAAAAACCTTGTGGCTTAAAGACGAGGGCATACACGCATGTACTTGGTTAGCAGGTTACACTGACAACGGTAAGCTTTCCATGTATGATAACGAAGACGGAAACTATGTGATTACGTCCTTCTTTAGGATATTTTCGTTGGATCAGCTGTCACCACCTCACTACAACTCAGAGTTGTCCCACAACAATAGAATAACAGATAACCATTGTTGATTTATCCCGGTAATAAGAATAATGATAGTCAACTTACAGAATCATGATCATACCATTCATACGTTCCCTTCAATAATGTACCAGAAACAGCTGTTTTCATAACTGCTTCGGAATTGGAATTATTATTGTTATTATTTCCAACTAAACTGACATCCACAGATGATGACAAGGACTGATGTGATTTACTTAAAACTGCCACAATTGAAGATGGATCTAATGGCGCAGTGAACATGCTGATTTGATTTGATGAAACATGAAAACGTATACCACGATAATAGACAACTTTAAATACAGGCTTATAAGAAGAGCCTATTTCCGGTTCTCCTGTTCTAACATAGGTTACACGACAAAGATAACATCCTCGGAAAACATAACATTAAAAGAGGAGAAAAGAGACAAAATATCAGATTTTCACTGACATTTAATTGCAGTTTTACTGCAAGAAATACAGTACGGACAAATGTAAAGAAATGTTACAAGGCAAACTATAAAGTGTTTACTATGTATACTATGTGAATCGAATGAAGGCTGGTATCAGGGAATAATACACTTTATTAGTGTATATGGGACAATTTTTAGATTTAAACTAGCGGAATATTTCATTGATGAAGATTAGTTTATCAGTAGAGTTTGTTTAATTAATTTGCATATTACTATTTGGATTAAGGAATTAAGGCTACTCGTAATTCAAAAGGTTGGAGAATATTAAATTTGTCACATTCGCTGTACAACTGCTTAATAAATCTAAATAATTTTGAAATTATGGTGATGAATAGCAATAATAGTAGTAGTTTGAACTCGGTTAGCAGGTACAAGTGGTCTATATATGCGGTTCTGAGTCATATTTAACTTATTACAACGATAAGGCTTGGATACTCATGCTGAAATTGGTGAAAAAAGAATACTTTTTGAAAGTGATTATAGAATACAGAGACTAACATGCGTGACTTGGATGTTACAAAATAGACAGAGAATAATACTAATCATAGTGAAAGACAACTCCGCCTATAGCTCTTCCAGAGTTACTGCCGGTCCCAAGCCCGGGTAAAGGAGGAGGGTTGGGCATGGGGTTAGCGTCCCCATCCCGTAGAAAACTAACTAGCTAAAAAACGCTTACCAGAAAAAATAATCCAAACCATTTTAACTCTGCCCTGGGAGTTAGAAGGTCTTCATTTAGAAGAATTATGACGCTTCATGGTGAAAGCCGAGTTCCTTCGGAAGCCACGAGGCCGATGCCCCTTCTAACAACCAGAGCAAAAATTTTTATAGGTACATGGAACGTTCGAACAATGTGGGAAACCGGGAAGACAAGTCAAATAGCAACGGAAATGAGGAGATACAACTTAGCAGTACTGGGAATCAGCGAAACCCACTGGACCCAAGCTGGACAGAAAAGGCTAGCTACGGGAGAGATGCTGCTATAGTCCGGTCACGAAGAGGACAATGCTCCACACACTCAGAGAGTCGCTCTTATGCTGTCCAAAGTAGCATGAAATGCACTTGTAGGATGGGAATCTCACGGATCCAGAATCATCAAAGCATCATTCAATACAAAGGAGGGGATCTTAATGAATATTATCCAATGTTATGCACCCACTAATGATAGCAACGACGACATTAAAGATCAGTTCTACGAGTGGCTACAGTCAATCATTGAGAAATGCCCAAGGAAGGACCTAACTATTCTGATGAGAGATCTAAATGCCAAAGTCGGAATAGACAACACTGGATATGAAGATATTATGGGACGACATGGACTGGGAGAAAGAAACGAAAATGAAGAAAGATTTGTAAATCTATGTGCACTCAACAAATTGGTCATAGGAGGCACAATATTTCCACACAAGCGTATACACAAGGCTACATGGATCTCACCGGACCACACTACAGAGAACCAGATAGATCATATTTGCATCAACAAAAAATTCCGAAGGACAATGGAAGATGTGAGAACCAGGAGAGGTGCTGACGTAGCTTCAGATCACCACCTAGTTGTAGCCAATTTAAAACTGAAGCTAAAAAAGAACTGGACAAGTGGACAAACAGCACTACAAAGGTTCAATACAGCCTTCCTTGGAGATACTAAAAGACTCAACGAATTCAAGATAACTCTCAACAACAAGTTCCAAGCCTTACATGATCTACTGAAGGAAGAAGAAACTACTATGGAGAACAACTAGAAAGGCATCAAAGAAACATTGACTTCAACGTGTCAAGAGGTTCTGGGCCTAAAGAAACACCATCATAAAGAATGGATCTCTACAGAAACACTGGACAAGATCAAGGAAAGGAAGAACAAGAAGGCAGCAATAAACAACAGCCGAACACGAGCAGAGAAAGTCCAAGCACAAGCTGAATACATAGAAGCAAACAAACAAGTGAAGAGGAGCATTAGAGCCGACAAGAAGAAATACGTGGAAGAACTAGCAACGACGGCAGAAAAAGCTGCAAGGGAAGGAAATATGAAACAGCTTCACAATACAACGAAGAAACTAGCAGGGAAATACAGTAAACCAGAGAGGCCGTTCAAGGACAAAGAAGGCAGGCCAATCACTGAAATTCAACAACAGCGGAACAGATGGGAAGAATACTTCGAGGAACTCCTGAATAGGCCGGCTCCAATGAATCCACCGGACATCGAAGCAGCGCACATAGATCTTCCTATAGATGTCAACCCACCAACGAAGGAAGAAATTAGAATGGCCGTCAGACAAACCAAGAACGGGAAAGCAGCAGGACCCGACAACATACCAGCTGAAGCACTAAAATCAGATATCAAAGTAACTACAAACATGCTTCACCTTCTATTCAAAAAGATTTGGGAGGAGGAACAAGTGCCGATGGACTGGAAAGAAGGACACCTCGTCAAGATTCCAAAGAAAGGAGATCTGAGCAAATGTGAAAACTACAGAGGCATTACACTACTGTCAATACCAGGGAAAGTCGTCAACAGAGTGTTGCTGAACCGGATGAAAGATGCAGTAGACGCCCAACTTCGAGATCAACAAGCTGGATTCCGTAAGCATCGGTCGTGCACAGATCGAATTGCGACACCACGGATCATCGCCGAACAATCAGTTGAGTGGAACTCATCACTATACATCAACTTCATTGATTATGAAAAGGCATTCGACAGTGTAGATATGAGGACATTATGGAAACTTCTTCGACACTACGGAGTTCCTGAGAAGATTGTCAATATTATCCGGAACTCATACGACGGACTACAGTGCAAAGTAGTGCATGGAGGACAGCTGACAGATGCATTCCAAGTAAGGACCGGAGTCAGACAAGGCTGTCTACTCTCCCCCTTTCTCTTTCTTTTGGTGGTCGACTAGATTATGAAGACCTCAACATCTGAAGGAAAACACGGAATACAATGGACAGCTCAGAATCAATTAGACGATTTGGACTTCGCAGATGACCTAGCCCTCCTATCACGTACACACGAACAGATGCAGATGAAGACAGCCAGTGTAGCAGCAGTCTCTGCATTAGTAGGCCTCAGCATACACAAAGGGAAAACCAAGGTCCTCAAATTTTAAGCGGAAAACAGCAATCCAATCACTCTTGATGGTGAAACTCTGGAAGATGTAGAGTCCTTCACATACCTAGGAAGCATCATCGATGAACAAGGAGGTTCAGATGCAGACGTAAAGGCGAGGATCGGCAAAGCAAGGGTGGCATTCCTACAATTGAAGAACATATGGAACTCAAAACAACTTTCAACCAATATCAAAGTGAGAATCTTCAATACGAACGTCAAGGCAGTTCTACTGTATGGAGCTGAAACTTGGAGAACTACAACAACCACAATCAAGAAAGTACAAGTATTTATAAATAGCTGTCTACGCAAGATACTCAACATCCATTGGCCGGATACCATCAGCAATAGCCTTGTGTGGGAGAGAACAAACCAACTTCCAGCTGAAGAAGAAATTAGGAAAAGACGATGGAAATGGATAGGACATACATTACGCAAATCATCAAACTGCATCACGAGGCAAGCCCTAACTTGGAATCCTGAAGGGAAGCGAAAAAGAGGAAGGCCAAAGAACACATTGCGTCGGATAATAGAAGCAGATATGAAAACGATGAATTACAACTGGACGGAGCTAGAAAGGATTGCCCAGGACAGGGTTGGATGGAGAATGCTGGTGAGCGGCCTATGCTCCTTCACGAGGAGTAACAGGCTTAAGTAAGTAATAGTGAAAGACAGCATACTATTAGAAAGTGTGTGGTTTATTTTAGACTGAACAATTCTGATAAAGTTGTTAAAAGTGTGAGGCATTTTTTTTTAAAAAAATACACGATTAGTGACTGAATATATGAACACATATAATATTAATTATGAATCGTAAGTTCATGAAATTGCCATTAGTGTAAACAAAAACCTAAACAGGTTTAGACAGATAAAGTTGGGGGGAGGATGAATGGAATAACTGCAACATTTTATACATTTTGAAAAGATAGACGCTACATATTTGCTATAAAAGATACACTAAGCAATTCAAGTATGAAAACCTCTCATTTGCTTTTCTGTTTAGTAACTAATATCCAGCAGTATTACTGTTCCTGTGTGGTGTGTGCTACTGATGTCGATATATATAATTAGTATGTATCATCAATGGAAAGTGAAATACCTGGCAGCAGATGGTTAAGAAGATCGAAGAGAAGAGAACGAGAACAGAGAATGACTAGTTTGGAACCGAAGGAACAATCAAGTCTGAGACAATTGATTGACATTTTGCAAATGAAGTATTTATTGTATGGATCTCAGATTTTACTAAGAGATTCTGCAATTTTGTATTCAAATACATTCAATTTTCCCCACTTGTGTTCTTGTTCATTACATCTGGTCTGTAGTGTATATTGTAAGATTGTATAATAATAAATTCATTTTCTCAAAAAATAAATTAGTATGAAGAGCCGATTTAAGTCTGCTTGCTACAACTAGTAATTGTGTAAAATGAAGTAGTGTAATCATAATGATGACGTCTAACCAGACTCCTTAACAGACTAACAAGCGGAAGAATTGCACGAACTATTAATATTTAAAAATGTTGAACAATAATATTAGGATCTGGTAAATGTTCGATGGAAGGAATATATGTGAGGTTTATATAAGCTAAGTCCAATTCAAAAAGAAAACGAAAGACCCCAGACAGACAAATCATACCATGATATAAAACTTGTGGTCGATAAATAGCCATTTCACGCCATGAAGTGTAATTCATTGAGGATAAATAATTAAGTTGATTATTACAACCGATATTATTATTGTCATATGTTAGCCATACTGGCCATAATTTGAAACAAATATCTCTCCATATTGAATTATCATTAGCCAACAGATAGAAACCACGACATACCTGTTGATAATTCAAAAAAGAAGTAATAAAGACGGAAGAAGTTAAAAAATAATAAAGACTAGGTTTAAACAGTATGCAATTAAATAGGTTGGAGCACACAAGGTTGGATGTAAAGTGCTTTATGTAACAGGTTATTTTTACCAACACATACCTGGATGAGTTATAATCTGCAATGAAAATCGAACATTCAGATACAATTGTGATTGAGAAATATGATTCGCCTATTGGATTTATTAATGCTGATCATATGGCAAAGTTGAGTTTGTCAGATAACTGGAACGAAATTATGGTGGAATTTCACGATTCTGTTTTATACCCGTTTGTGGTATTTCTTAGGTTGTGTTACGAACATTAGAAAAAAAAGATTTACATCCCAGCACTTATACACAAAGATTATTTGAGCACTTAAATAGTAATAATTATAATAAAGGTGATTATAATTATTACGACTTTCAAGATAGTTGGTGTCAACGTATTCGCCTTAATAAGAAGCACTAGAAGTTTTTGTGTCCTATCTTGTTTAGATTTGATTCACGTTTATTAACTGAACAGCTGGAGGAATCTGAAGGGTTAATCTGCGCGCTTACGAAGTTTAGGAACGCTCGTATAGTCTCAGATAAAACCACCAATCAAAGGCTTACGCAAAAGCGCACCTTAAATGAAAAAAACGATGTAGAGATTACACTGAATCCCGTTGCCTAAGCAGCAGGACCCAATGATGAAAATAACCTATCTCATGTCAACCAATATTCCGAAGATTGCTAACTTACCACTTATGCCCGTAGTGACCTCAGATAACCAATATATACCCAATGTAGATTTTAATCTGATATCTCCTAGTCTAACATTAGAAGTGCGTACCCAAATACCTAGTTCTAATGTAAAAGCTCTTCAAAATACTGTTAAAATTAAAGTCTATACCATGTAGGAAGAAAGTCTGTATAAAACTGTCTGGTTCCAAAACTAATACCAAAAATATTACAATTGCTCCACCATACAAAAATATATTTCCGACATCCTGTTTTACTCTACTACTCATAGGGGTGGTTATATGGAGACACTTAGCGCAAACGACGCACAAAACGGGCACCACAACCATTGTGTAAGCAGGCCTAATATCAGACAGACTTCAAGGAACCATTATGTTTCAGGATTACTCCGAAACTTTTATGTACTGAATCTGCAAGATATAACTTTTCTCATCACTTCCACGATAGACAAGACGGACTAATAGGTTACGCACTACTAACTGAACCCCAACGAGTACGTGAATTTCGCGACTGTCTGCCAAGTCAACTTCAGCAAATAAGTCTACCTTATCAAAATAAAGATTTTTTGGCCTTCAAAAATCCTTGATCCCTCTACCATTAGTTTGTTCAAGCTGTAACCCATATGACCAAACACCGACACTGAACCACAGTCCAGTCAACTCTAAAATACAAAACACAGATAAGGACGTTCTCGTTTTTTTACACTCTACACCTTTTTTTAACTTATGAAACTTATTGACATGGTTAGCCACCAACGTCTTATAGATAAAATCGCATGTTACGGGGTCCAAAACACTCCGCTCGCTTGGATTGGTTCCTTTTTCAGCCACCGATATCAAATAGTTAAAATTAACTCTTCCTTGTCGGACGCTGACCCTGCCAGAAGTGGTGTAACACAAAGCAGTGTCTTAGACCCTTTCTCTTTTTTAGTTTATATCAATGATAGTTGTGGATGTATTTGTGCGGGTAAGCCCCTTCTGTAAGCAGATGATCTTAAAGTAGTGCATTCATTTTCTTTACCTGAGCTGAAGAATATGCAAAATTGTATAAACATGGAGCTTAACAAGGTAGCGCAATGGTGCTTAAAATGGGAGCTGGAGCTTAACACAACTAAATGTGGATGTATATACTTCGGTAATACATCACTCGACTCGGATCTTACCATAAATTGTGAGGTGTTATCTAAGTTACATACAGTAGTAGACTTGGGACTCTTGCGATTTGTCGTTTACAGGACAGGTATTGAAACAAACCTCCTTGTCTCAACTTTTTATGGGTTACATAACTCGGAACCTTTATAACAACGAGTCACGTATCTTGTTGTACAAAGTTCGTGTTCGACCACTACTAGAATATTGCATGTTCATTTTTAGTAGTGTGCACACAAAAGACAAAAATAAGGTTGGATTTAGTACATAAATGATTTACTCCTGGAATTCTTGGAACTGGTTGTAACTTGAATCTTAATTCCAGATGTAATAAACTTGGGTTCGACTCATTATGGGAAAGGAGACTCAAACTAAACATATGTTTCTTCAAAATACTTAATAGACTATCCCTTTACATCCAATCGAGTAATTCAATATGCAGAAACTTCTAGTTACATCTGCAACTCCTTGTCATTAGTGAAACAAATCCACATTAAATCATCTTTCTATATGAATTACTTAACATGTAAAATTTACAGGCTCTGGAATAATCTGCCATAATCCATCCGTAAGATAAAATTACTCCCATCGTTTGTTTGCTGCATTGAAGCATACTGCTCCTCTGAAAATGCATTAAATGTCCTAGCACCTGTAAATGTATCTTATTCCACAAGTGAGATTATGGGAACTTTAAATATTTAGTCATTCTTGTTATAGAATCCACTAAGTAAGCCAACTATCTGCTGTTAAATTCCATTAACACCGGCCTTGATAACCTTAACTAATTTCAATATCTTATGAAGTGTGATCAATAAACGAACCCAGCAATGACGACAGGAAACGCCCACTACCATATTAACTTTCTTTGCCCTTGTATGGCTATGCTTTGTTTATTCACCGATCATAATTTTATGTTTACCATGAACGATATAAAGTTCGTTGACTCATTTTTCCTATGCTCTGGTTACTGTTCGGTATGTTGTTTATGTCTCTTTTCCCTGTTTAATGGACTGCATGAAATTCGATAATGCAATGAGTAAAGGTTATCAGAATTATGTAATACATTCCGAACAATCTGATAACACATGTACCTGTTAAGACATTTTTATATGAAAACGAAGTGGTCAACTATTATTTATCTTAACACATAGATATTAGTGCAAGGGGGCACCAAATACATAAGCGCCATACAAATCTCACTTGATATTTGTGAGGGCTATGGTACTCCCCTGGTGCCCAGACCGAAGCGGGTGGTTTTCTTAAGGGGCCACAGCCGGAGCCGTCGACCTGAAGGTCTGATCCACAAGGCAGTGGAGTATCGTAAGGAGATGCAGTCCTATGCTATCCGGTGACCAACGATTGGTTCAAACATCATTTGTTCCTTCAGGATACTGGAGCCCATGTGCACCATTGGTTTGGAATAAGGGTTTCCCAACTCCCCTAAATGGACTCTCCATGTCCACCATCCCGGTTAAAGCGCCGGACATTCGCTTTTCGTCCTCTCAATTTCGTAAACAACACCCCTGCCACGAGAAGGCAATGAGTAGGACTTCCCTGGCAGAGGCTGTATACGCGTGGCCATGTGAGAGCATTTCGAGAGGGAGAGCGGACTCTTCCCACTCTCGGCCGTACCAGGGTATTTGGGGGCAAATGGTCAAGTAGGCAGGTTAAAGGTAAGCCGTAACTAAGAAAAATAAAGTACACAAAAACAATATGATAATCATCCTGTATAATAAATCAATATTTCCAGGGTAGGTTAAGGTTAAGACCAAATTGTTTTTGAACATATAAAGGGGGTTTCAGTTTACGTATAGCTAAGGCTTTTGTACAACACTACAAATGCTGACTTGATATCAACCTTATGACCAGTCTCAACCACATTGTTTTTGTGCACCTTATTTTTTTGTTAAGGCTTACCTTTAAACCTATCTAGTTGACCATTTAGTTTTCATATAAAAATGTCCTAAAAAGTATATATGTGATCAGATTGTTCGAGATGTGTTGCACAAATATATCACATAATTCTGATAACCTCTGTCTTCTTAATGCATTATCGAAATTTATCAAAGGGACTTAGAATGGTTAAGTGATATTTTTACAATGATGAAAATAGACTTTTCAAAAACTTACACAAGATAAAACGCCTAGAACACGTATATTTAGATGGCTGCCAATGGTCCATCGAATTATTCTCAAAAGCAGTTCGAATGGCAAAACTGATATATGTGTTGACTGAGATATAAAAAAGGAGAGGAAAAAAGTAATAATAATGAATGGATTAAGATTCAATGATGTCAAATGATTTTAGAAAAAAGTCCAAAATAGCATCACACAGTTAAGTACGAATATATTCCAACGCGGTACTACAAGAGTGAGGAAACCGACTAGGAGTTTGATTTAACTTTGATCATTTAATAAACTGACTTTAAAGTTAACATTAAGATCTTTCTTATCATCACCCGAATTCGACTGAAAAAAACTAGTCATCAACAAACTGGTGATTATTGACCATTGACAAATGGAGGAGTTTTCTTGGTAGAAAATCATGAAAGAAGGACAGCCCAAACAAACTGCCCCCATCCTCGTGCTGGTTATGCAGTGAATGGCATTACAAGAAGTTTTGTCCATATAAAAACTACCGTTGCACTAAATGTCAGCATAAAGGACATAAGGGATCCTGCTGTAAAAGGAAAATGTATCGTCGTCGCTTACCGCGATTTTATTCCAGGAGACATAAACCGCATACTTCAACCAGCCAAGTAACGGTAGCACACACGGAAACAGAATACAGTCGACGAAAATATGCAACCATCAAGGTCGACGGTCACAGCACCCGCCTGCTTCTAACATTACACTCATCAGCCGAAAAACCTGGAAGAATGATGGAAAAACCCCGGTGCTCCCAACAACCAAGTTAGCCCACAGTACATCTGGTGGGAAATTAAATATTGTTGGAGAGGTATGCTGTGTCGTTTCAAAAGAAAATGAAAAGACGAGAGCAACATCAAATCTCACAGAACGTCCAGGACTAGATTTGCTGGGTCTAGACTTATTAGAAAAGCTACAGTTAGCAAATCCCCCCATTATTCATATTTGCAGTCGAGTGAGGACTGACGGACCAGTGGAGACCTTATTGAGCATGCCTAAACAAAGCACTTGAAGCCCATCAGTACCCTTCGCCTTTACCAGAAGACTTATTTGCGAAACTGAATGAGGGGGAGTATTTCGCAAAATTGTATTTATCAGAAGCTTATTTAGGATCTCAGTAGCTGAAGAGAGCAAGTATTACTTGACTATAAACACACACAAAGGTTTGTTCCGATATAAGACTTCCTTTTGGAGTAAAGACAGTGCCTTCAATCTTTCAACAAGTTATGGACACTATGCTGCAAAATATTCTTGGTACTGCGGCCTATCTGGATGATATATTTATCATGGGTACGGACTAGGTTGACTTAGGGAAGGTGGATATGGTTTTCAGAGACAGCAGATTATGTTTTCAGATAACATGCTGAGAAAGGTGATTTGTACGTAGAGCAAGTGAGCTATCTGTGATTTTTAGTCGATAAAAATGGAAGAAAACCTGATCCAGGGAATATCGGGGCGATCAAAACCATGCCTCCACCGACAGATGTATTCACTTCACGTTCCTTCTTGGAAATGGTTAACCATTATTGTGTTTTTTCCAGACCTGCATCGTCTGCGTGCCCCGCTGAAATGTTTACTAACAAAGATCAGGTCAACAGAATGTCAAGCATTCCTAGAACTAAAACAGCTCCTAGCATTAAACCTACTTAAGCATTATGATCCAGCCCTTACCATTGTGATCACAGCAGATGAATAAAATTATGGAATTGGAGCAGTGACTTCACATATCTACTTAGATGGATCAAAGATAGCGGTTGCCCATGCTGCATGATTACTGACAACGACAGGAAGGAACTATAGTCAGATAGAGAAGGAAGCCCTCTCCATTATCTTTGCTGTGAAGAGGTTTCACAAGATGTTACTCGGCAGACAGTTTACGTTGCTAAAAGACCACAAACCTCTACTAGTAGTTTTTGGATCTAGAAAGAGTATCCCTGTTTATACAGCAAACCGTTTACAACAATGGAAAAATATACTGATGTTTTATGATTTCAAGATAGTGTCGACCGACAACGGATTTTAGACAGGCAGATATTAGCTGAAGACTAATTGGTTCCCATGTAAAACACGAAGAAAAAGTGATTTTAGCTGCCATAGAAGCTGAGGCCGAAGTTCGCAGACGCAGTTTCCGGAATGCCGGTCACATTCGAAGCGCAAATTAACCTGAAAGCCAAGTCCTAAATATAACTTATCTCAAACGCGAATGCATAATCTACCAATAATTTTGATATTCTTTGAGAGACTGTTAGAGAAACTATTATCAGCTAATTAAGAACACTGAATAAATTTTGTTAGTGAGGAAAAATTGCATGAATGAGCTTAAACTCTTATTGTTACAGTTATACCGCGATATAAGGTTAAATACAGTATCACAAAAAATATTTATCAGTTATCTTTAGCAAAAAACAGCTATAGAGAAACTTGCATGTTTACGCAACTTCGTAAATAATCCTTAGGGTGAAAAGATAGTTAGTCATACCTCTAATTAGTTTGTAGAAAAAAAACCAGCTGTCATTCATCTATAAGTTACAACACTTGTAAACTTTACAAATTACACCCAACATTAATCTTTTTTACGCCGCAACATGCTCAACAATTATTGGGAGACTATTCGTGAAACCATGTTTAGTTAGACTGTTGCTCGTCATCCCCGATTGAGACTGATTTAGAAAAATTCAAATAACTGGAGAGAACAAGTTAGTAATGAATGTGAATGGTAAATTTGTCCTACTATTTGTCTTGATTTCCTTTCAGCTAGGTGAGTCAAATATGGTGTCATTTTGCTCAAATACAAGACATATTATTGGTATTGAAATACTTACGGAGCTACATTTGTGCATCGGTTGTAGATAGAAACCATCGTACCCAGAATCGTGACGTATGCATTTTGTGAATGCATTGCACAAATCCGCTTCTTCTCTGGATATTTTGACTGTCAAGTGGAATAACATAAAAACGTTCAGGAAATAAGAAAAAAATATTTTAGCGAATTATGTGGAATTAAAAGAAAAAACCATGATGAGGCCAGTACTGGATGTTAATGATGTGTTTTGAACCAATAACGACAACTCCTAGTTCCGATGTGGTTTTTAAGGATATGACACTATTAGCAAATACAAACGATGAACAGTATATGTTCAGACCAAGAATTTACCTTTTTAAAACATGATACTGCGTTTCGTCATCAACACAGATCTCAGACTAGAAGTTGCAATATTTAGCACTCCAGTCGGAAACACTACTGAATGGATATCTAATTGGAATACAAACAATTGGAAGTCAAAAAATTCGTATTTTCTATTGCTGATTTCTGCATTACGAATAGTAAATAAATCAGATGTCAGAACTAAAATCCTCTAGGGAACAACGAACTAAGCAGTCGATAATACAATGGCTGGAATGGAGTTTGTGCATTGGACAAAAGTGAACTCAAGTAATAAATGATCAGTGCAGCAGTTAACAGGAAATCTGTAAGCGAAAACTGTTCAAATCTATGGATATAAAGATCTCTATTACTTGATTATGTTCGTTTTATGATAATCATACAAGAAAATGAAGTGTAAACCCAGGGAATCGTTAATTAAGCACTGGACAAAAACGGAACTATTGTACTTTATGAAAAAGTATCAAACGAAGTAGTGAGAAAGAAAACTTGGTATCTTCAACTGCATATGATAAAATCGGACCTAAAATAATGGTTTACAGTTATTGGAATTCGTTCAGTGTACTTGGTATCTTTAACTAAAAGGACCGTATTTAATCTTCTGAATCTAATATCACAAAGATTTGGCCAATAATTAATGCAGTTACTGTACAACTAAACATTTCATGAGGTTTTCGAGATTGTTGAATTTCATCGAAATTATGAGTCGATTACTGCTAGACTATCATTGAAAACGTGGAATCTCAGGACGGCCATTTAGTCCTAGTGTGGGACTTCTGAGCAGTTGTGTTTTAATGTGACATAATGATACGATACAATCTCATTCTGCCTACTTCAAATTCGAATTCTTGATCGTGCCTTGTCAGAGTTCTAGTCTATTTGCCGCCAAATGCCCTGGTACGACCGAGAGTGGGGTGGGCTCGCCCTCTCGAAATACTCTCACACGGTCACGCGTATACAGCCTCTGCCAGGGAAGTCCTACTCATTGCCTTCTCGTGGCGGGGGTGTTGTTTACGAAAATGAGAGGACGAAAGGCGAATGTCCGGCGCTTTAACCGGATCCCAAACCAATGGTGCATATGGGCTCTAGTATCCTGCGGGAACAAATGGCGTATGAACCAACTGTTGGTCACCGGATACCATGGGACTGCATCTCCTTACGATGCTCCACTGCCTTGTGGGTTAGACCATTAGGTCAAGGGCTCGGGGTGTGGCCCCTTAAGAAAACCACCTGCTTCGGTCTGGGCACCCGGGCAGTATCGCAGCTCACACGCAAATAATGAACTCTCTATATCTATGGAAACTACTTTTCTCGCTTCGAATAACAATCAAATGATTATTATTATTATTAACCACATTATTCACCCTCTTTTATACTTATACAGCGGCTCGTCTTTGGTGGAAATTCCACTGTATCTAAACGTTCTCGAGTCACTGTCCGGTTGAAAATTGTACGTTGCCACTGGATATGAGTACAGAAGCAGTTTATCTGAAACCACGTGCACCATTCAAACTGGCTGCCTTCAACGTTCGCACACTTATGCAGGTTGGACAACAGATAGGGCTGGCTATGTCTTTGGAAAGTCTTAATATCGATGTCTGCTGTCTATCCGAGACCCGTATTCAAGACTCTGGTGAAGTACTACAAATTCGACCTCCATCTGTCGCTTCGAAAAGCTTGTTTTACGTGCGCTTATCCGGGGACCCTATGGCATCTTCGTCTGGTCTTGCTGGCGTTGGTGTCCCACTAAGCGCTAGAGCTGAGGCAGCACTAATCGATTGGATCCCCACTAACAGTCGGTTATGTGCTGTTAAATTAGAAAGTTCCATCAAAGTGAGAAGAAATCGGCGTGAGAAACGATGTCTTTTCGTCATCTCCGCCTATGCCCCGACAGATTGCAGCCCGGATGCAATCAAGGATGAGTTTTACCACCAGTTATCTGTTCTTCTCCAGAAAGCGCGTTCGACAGATATTATAGTACTAGCGGGAGACTTGAATGCTCAGGTCGGGCGTCTAGGCACAGAAGAGAGTTGTTTAGGTGGCCGATGGGGACTCGTTGGTCGCAGGTCAGATAACGGGGACCGTCTACTGCAACTATGCACAGACCACAACCTGTTTCTGGCTAGCACTAACTTTCGGCACAGTCATCGCCGATGTGCCACCTGGCGTCCTTCCTCTACATCCCAAGCCTGGACTCAGATTGATCACATCGCGACCAGCTACCGCTGGCGTGGTTGTGTACAAGACTGTCGCTCCTTTTGGAGTACCTATCTGGACTCTGACCATGCCTTGGTCTGCGCCAATCTTGTCTTACTTTTCAGTGGCCAACGAACTGACCGCCATCAACGGATTGATATTAGCAAGCTGGTTGCAACTTCTGTTGCTAGTAAGTATCGAACCGAGCTAGTTTCTAGGCTAGCTACCATTCCACCGAAAAGAATAGATGAGCATTGATTGCAATTGCATGAAGCCATGAAAATGGCGGGTACAGTCAGTTGTGGGTTCGCGAAACGTCCCGCCCATAGGCACTGGGTTTCTTCAGGCTCCTTACAACTCATTGAAACCCGTCGGTCTATTCCGGGTGACCGTGAGTTTGACCACAAACGAAGGATGTTACGTAAGGAAATTGGGCAAAGCTTGCGTAAGGACCGAGAAGCCTGGTGGTCGGAGCGTGCTAATGAGCTGGAAGCAGCAGCTGCATCTGGTCATTACCGGAAGCTCTTCCAACTCATCCGAGCCACTGGCAGCAAGAAGTCTGGTGTGAGCGAAACAATCTGCGAGGATGACGGGATGCCAATCACTAACATCCATCGACGTCTTGGACGATGGGCAGAATTTTTCGAAGGACAGTTCAACTGGCCTGCTGCTCCGGCAACATCGGTCAGACTGTCCTGCCCTCCATGGCAGGTGACGATTGACCCACCAAATGAGGCGGAAGTCCGCAAGGAACTCCAACTCTTGAAGCGCTACAAATCACCTGGCCCAGATGACTTACCTCCGGCTCCTTTTAAAGATGGTGGCGACTTTCTGACTAAGGAATTGACGACGTTATTTACAAAGGTTTGGGAACTAGAGAGCATACCAACGTCATGGAATGAGTCGATAGTTGTCCCTATCTTTAAAAAGGGTTCACGTCGTTCCTGTAACAACTATCGGGGGATAAGTCTACTTCCGATTGCGTTCAAGCTATTGGCTTCCGTCATACTTCGTAGGTTGTTCAAAATCCGAGAAAGATTGACTCGCGAGGAGCAGGCTGGGTTTCGTTCTGGTTGAGGATGTATTGATCATATCTTCACCCTCCGCCAAATGTTAGAACACCGCCATACTTATCAAAGGCCAAAAATCGTAGTGTTTCTTGACATCAGGGCTGCCTTCGATTCGTTGTATAGGACTGTTCCCTGGGATTTTCTATTGAAGAGTGTGCCTGAGAAGTTTATTTACATCCTAAAAGCCCTATACACAAACACCTCAAACAGAGTGAGGGTATACAACCACCTCTCTCCATTGTTCCATTCGAGCAGTGGGGTTAAGCAGGGTTGCCCAATCTCACCATTCCTCTTCAACTTTGCCATCGATGACATTCTGGAAACAGCTCTGATGGATGTAAGTAATGGTGGTGTGGATCTGTTGCCTGGAGAAAGACTTCTCGACCTTGAGTATGCGGACGATATTGTCTTACTGTGCGATAATCCCCAAGACATGCAATTCGCGCTTAATCAGTTGGCAACCAGTGTCCGTAGGTACGGTATGTGCTTTGCACCTTCGAAGTGCAAAGTACTTCTACAAGACTGGCAGGATTCTAACCCTGTACTCACCCTGGATGGTGAGCAGATAGAAGTAGTTGAGAAGTTCGTGTATCTGGGTAGCTGCATAAGTGCTGGTGGGGGTGTGAGTGATGAGATCAATGCACGTATAGTGAAAGCCAGAGCGGCTTATGCCAATCTGGGCCACCTTTGGCGCCTTCGTGATGTTAGTCTGGCCGCAAAAGGTCGGGTCTAGAACGCGTCGGTGAGAGCAGTCTTGCTTTATGCTTGTGAAACCTGGCCTCTCCGAGTTGAGGACGTTAGAAGACTCTCTGTGTTCGATCATCGTTGTCTCCGAAGGATTGCTGACATCCAGTGGCAACACCATGTTAGTAATGCAGAGTTTCGGCATCGTGTGTTCGGGCACAGAGATGATAATTCAATTGGTGTCACCATCTTGAAACACCGACTTCGGTGGCTTGGACATGTTCTACGAATGTTGTCCCAGAGAATTCCACGTCGTGCATTATTTGCCGACTCTGGGACTGGTTGGAAGAAGCGGAGAGGTGGTCAGTGCATGACATAGTGTCGTGGTGTGAAAGAAAGCTGCGAAGGACTGGCTTCTATTGGACCTTCACGACTCCCTGGTTGGGGTCCGAGAGATGGTGCTACAGTGGCTAGAGACGTTATCAGATATGGCTCAGAATAGAAGCCAGTGGCGATCTTGCTGTAACCTTCTTTTACTTTATTCATAAAACGTGGTTGTGTCTCCCTTAACTGAAAGATTTCTTCTAATCGTACCTTTCCGGTCCCTCATTATTACTATTATTATTACTACACTACCTTACACCAACCTCTTCGTTATTGTTCCTTTTTTTCACGCTCCTTATCAATTTTTTCTTCCTCTTCAAATTCTCATTGTTTTGTGTGGCGCACATATATTGGCGCTCTCTTGTACCAATATTTATGTGTTCAAATAAATAAATAAAACTATTTGGGATTAAAATTAATTCGTCAAACTATTTCAAATTCACACTTAGCATTGCTGTAAACAGGGATTCTAATAATCTCTTAAGGTTTTATACCTGCACGTCACTGGAAAAAGTGGAAGACCATTTAGACTACCTCAGTGCTTGGTGTTCATCACATCACTTTAGCACATTCCATAACTACTGTTTATAAAGAAGCCTACAGTTTGTTAGGGAGTTTTGTATGTACTGCTAAATCTAATCTACATCCGTTTAGTAAAATGAAAAGACTACTAACCGATCATTTTCACGTGAAAATTACAGTTCAACAAATTAGTTCGGGTTCTAAGTAAGACGATCAGAGATTTCTTACAAATGTTTCCGATGGAAGACTCTAAGTGCAATCTAAGTGAACGGATAAAGATCTAAATTCGATACCGCACGATTGTTATTATACATGATCCTAAACTGTAGATGTAACTTTCACAAATTACATAAGTAAACAAACCCACTAACAGGATTCAACCTTTCCAAAAAAATCGCAAGTTACCGTTCTGAGCTTTATACATTCTCTTTTCGAAGTATTTTTATGATCGTAAGTGGGTAAATATTAAAAAGCTTTATGCGGTTCATTTTGTTACTGCACTCAACCATAGTGTTCTTAGTCGTAGTGATTTTATTACTTTTTCTCTTTGGTAAACATACAGGTAAAATTCTTTGCTTGCTCAATACTACATAGAACACCGTTCCATAGGCCTGTCATTTTGGTGTGGATGCAATCTTCCAGATCTAGTTTCAACTAAATGATCACTGATTCAAGTCTCACTTTCCCAACCAAGATTTGTGCAGCCATATACCATTACTTCCCATAGATGTGGTGTATCTCTTGGTACATAAACTTCTACAATAATGGCAGTTCACTAGTCAAAATGTTCAGTTATATATCTTTCGCTTTGCCAACTAACAAGAATCGATCGATACACACAACCGCCATTGCAGCCAGTCTCAGTAACCGCAGTAGGTGATCTATCGCCGCGAGCGAGCGGTAACCAGTACCTGCTAGAGATGACAGAGCATGCAACACATTGGATAGACGCCGTACCCATTCCAGACCAGTGGGCAAAGACAGTAACCGAAGTAGTAATCCGGCATACTGTAGCCTGTCACGGAATATCGACGATGATCTCGAAAGTTACGCTTGTACCAACCAGTTGTTGAGCATTCTGTTCATTTGATGATTTAAACTAATTTATTACATTTCTCTTTCAAAGTATTGTTAACTAACACACTGATTACTTGTTTAGTTTTTAGGTATATATTTCACCGATGTTGTGATTCATACAAAGAATTCATTCTCATTTTCTACGGCTAATATTTGATCAGGTCTGATCTTGTAGTCTTTCCATTCGCATGACACTACTAAATACATATGTGTGAGGTTAGAAATGTAAATGGTAGACAGTTGGATTATTCTACTTCCCAGCATCACAAAACAAGACAGCCCTATACCATTTGCACATCGATATTTCCAGCCCTAAAACTTTGTTGTGAATTTGACATAGTTTAACGAATTACTACTAATCCCAAATAGACTAGAATTTCGACAAGAAACAATCGATAAGTCGAATTTGAACTGTTCAGCAATCTAAGTTTTGAATTAAAAACACAAACATAACCAACGTGTGGCGGATGTGATGACAAATTAATACAGTTACTGCACAATTAAACACTTCATGTTGTTTTAGTCTGTTATAATGATACGACAATTTCATTCTGGCTGAGATAAATCCCACGAAAACTCGACTGCTGAGACTATGAATGTGAATCTGAGCCGGAGAAAGTATGAGTTAGGTTATCTAGCACTCAGTAATTAGGTGTTTAAACTGAGACACAAACGACGGAAAAGGATAAACACACATTTTATAATTCACTTCAGTAGTGAAAATCCTTCGCACAGTCAAGGATTGAGAATGAGACTGAATCACAGGGCTAGTGAGAAATTGCACATGTGGTAACACAAAATTTGGGTTTAATTTCTGCAAAGCTAATTCCATATTATAACCTTGTCCTTGAGTAACTAAACCTGGACTCCCGAAAATGCTGATTCTACGGTATTGCTAGATAATACTATCCTACTTAATTTTTCACGGACCCGAGCTTCCAATTTTGGGGAAATCCCCAAAGTCAAATGACCTTGATGAAGGTTGCAGACGAATTTTGGGTTTCATTTCCCTAAAATGGACCAAATTATCCCAAAATTGGCACCTTGGGGGAGTAACGAAATGTCAAAATACGCCTATGTTTAGGGAAGTATATTCATCGAAGAAAATCTTGTTTTAGTGAGATTTTTATTCACAAGTATATGTGAGAAGCACAGAGTCGAGATTCTGTCCACTATCTTAATGTGATTATTCATGTGGAATGTAAATAGTTGAGTATAATCAAATAAGTGAGGTTTGCTTTAGTTCAAAAAAGCCTCGCCGAAAAAAACGTGTGAACATCTCACATGTTTGTGCACTTACTTAGTGGGTTATGTCGATTTGATTCACTTCTACATTTACTATAGAGGGAACTGATTGCTTCGCCATCATTATGAGTTGCACTATGAATGGACGAGTGGGAATCTTCATCCCCATCACCCTGTTCGCCTGAGCAACAGCCTGACGACATAACCAATACAAACACCAGAAAATCTGCAGGCAGTTGTAACGTTTAACCTTTGGTAGGTTTGTACCTAGCCTGAAGGTAACTTGTGTGATGGTGGGGTGCTAGAAGTAAATGAAGTAACCTGCGAGAAGAAGGAACAAGATAGATAGTGAGCCAACGGCTCAACACATATAATCCACTTACATTTTATAACGAAAGCAAGTGATAATTTCATAGATAACATCAGCGCGATATTACGGCTATTTGACAACCGACATGTCGACAGTTTCAAAGCGCGCCAAACCTCTACCTCCATTCTGATTGGCTCTTTTATGTAAGCTATTAAATCTACGCCATGCCCCACATTCACGCGATCTGTAATGATCTGTATAGGTTTGTATAATTTGAATGACGATTGTTTAAGATCAATTATCCAGTATCTTTCTGTAATGACGAACGGTATCATATAATTAAGCGACCCTATCAAAGGCTCAATTTATCACTGACTGTCTAATAAAATATCGATTTTTCCTCACACGCACTGCAGCCGATTATGTCGCTGCTAGTCATATCATTTTTATGACACGGAAAATATGATTTATCTAAGTCTGGTGCAGATTACAAGCAGTTAGGCGTTGCATCACCAAACTTAGGGTGGCAAATAATTCCCCAAAATAGATCGCTTTGTAAGTGTTTAAAGCAGATGCGGAACAGTTTAGTTTTACTGGATGAACCGCTGTCTAGAGGCGTTGGCCTCATTTGCTCACACTTCCACTGGTCATGAAACGCGTCTCCTCCGATAAGTGCTCAGCTTTGAAGTAATGCTTCGCAATACATGTTTCTATAAACCGGATACATCTTTCCACATCATTATCCTCAACCGTTTATCGGTTTCTCTCGTGAACACTTTGTTTGAATAAACTTGGACCCTAGTACCACCAAATTCCGTAGTTCTGGAATTTTCTGCAGACGTTAACCAAGTCGAGGGAAATCAGCAGTTAAATTTCCAGAGGAAAGTTTTCTATATTTAATTACTTTTACAACGAATAAATAGAGAAAATGAGAGAGCAAGATGATGATAGTTGAAAGGAAGTAAAAGAACTGAAGTTAGTAGCGATGAACATATAATTATAATAGACCGAAAGTGTTATGACACAACAAAGCAAATATATTTCATGCAATTAGTCCCCTTTATGAATTTCAATATAGCCAGAAAAAATAATAATACTAGTAGTATACTTCTGCATGAGCAGGTACACGCCATTTTCACAGACATGATCTACAAATCACAACATTTGTTGGCGCACAGCATCCTTCCCAACTTATTAAGTTTATACTTGTTATAAAGTAGACTCGTAGAGCGCTTGCTGTAAACTATGAGGTTGAGGAGACGCGTACGTCAAGTTTGTTCCAGACGTCAGAAGTTCCATAGCTGTGCCCTCAGAGCAAGATTTTGAAAAAATGAGAAACAGAAGAGCAGCAAGGCACTTGGATATGAACGCCAAACGTTGCTTAACATTTTGAAGTAGAACAGACAGAGGTATAGTAAATTAGATTAAATTCATATTATTTCTTGTTAGAGTGAAATGAAGTCAGAAGCTCCATATAAAAGGATGTAGTAATAAAGAACAATGAGTCGTGATGTTTAACAAGTTGGAGTGAGCTCACATGAAGGAAGGGAAGTCAAGGTTGGTACAAGGAAGGCGGTTTATTAGAAGGGAGTATGCATGTAGAGAGTTGAAGTGTTAAGAATACTAATAACTATATCTTTTATTGTCTATTTTTTATTCCTTTTCTTTTTTTGTCCATCCGATGCCAGCCACACAATCCTAGTGTAAAATTCCGAGTTAGCATGTTATAGGTTGTCTTAGTAGAATAGCTAATCCAACATAAAATTGGAAACATGAGTCTGAATGGTGAATGTAGGAAGACAATCTACATTACAGATTGATTGACTTATTCTCAATCATAAAGAGTCTGATACATACAAAATTTTCTGCCCCACAAACACGTGTGGATTGAAGTCATCGCCCTCGCCATCAGTGCTTACTGATCAGTAGCTCCACCCTCCCTCCTTTTGTGATGTTAGGCTCACTTAAACTTAATTTTGGATATATGTCATACCTCACACAATCCTCTGTGTTTCAAATCCTGCTACTTACTTGCTTACTTACTTACTCACGCTTGTTACTCCTAAAGGAGCACAAGCCGCCAACCAGCATTCTCCAAATCACTCTGTCCTGGACATGTTTGTCTAGTTCCATCCAATTCTTGTTCATTTTTCTAATGTCTGTCTCCATTGCTCGGCGTAATGTGTTCTTTGGTCTTCCACCTCTCCTTTGGCCTTGAGGATTCCATGTGAGGGCTTGTCTTATGATGCAGTCGGGTGCTTTCCTCAATGTGTTTCCTATCGACTTCCAGCACTTCTTCCTAATTTCTTCCTCCGCTGGAATCTACTTCGTTCTCTCCCACAGTAGGTTGTTGCTGATAGTGTCCGGCCAACGGATCCGAAGTATTTTGCGTAGATAGCTATTAATAATAAACACTTGTGTCTTCTGGATGATGGCTTTCGTAGTTCCCCAGGTTTCCGCCCCATACAGTAGAACTGTCCTGACATTTGTGTTGAAAATCCTGACCTTGGTTTCGCTTGACAGTTGTTTCGAGTTCCAGGTGTTCTTCAGTTGTAAATATGCTGCTCTTGCTTTGCCGATCCGCGCCTTCACTCCTGCACCAGATCCACCGTGTTCAATAATGATGCTGCCCGAATATGCAAAGGTTTTTACATCTTCCAAATCTTCTCCGTCAATTGTGATTGGATTGGTGCATGCCGTGTTGTATCGGAGAATTTTGCTCTTCCCTTTGTGTATATTGAGACCTACTGTTGCTGAGTCTGACGCTACACTGGTCGTATTTTCCTTCATTTGTTGTTGCCTTTGCAATAGAAGAGCCAGATCATCTGCGAAGTCTTGATCGTCCGACTGCATCCTAGATGCCCACTGTATCCCGTGCTTCCCTTCAGAAGTTGACGTTTTCATGATCCAGTCGATCACCAGGAGAAAGAGAAAGGGTGAGAGTAAGCAACCTTGCCTGACACCGGTCTTTACTTCGAAAGAGTTTGTCAACTGTCTTCCATGCACAATTTTGCAGTTTAATCCATCATAGGAATTCCGTATGATATTGACTATCTTTTCAGGTACGCCATAGTGTCGAAGAAGCTTCTGTAGTGTTGTCCTGTCCACGCTATCAAATGCTTCCTCGTAGTCAATGAAGTTGATGTAGAGTGATGAATTCCATCCAATCGATTGTTCCACAATGATCCGTAGTGTTGCGATTTGATCTGTACACGATCGATCCTTACGGAATCCTGTCTGTTTGTCTCGAAGTTGGGCATCTACGGAGTCATTCATTCTGTTTAACAACACCCTGTTGAAGACTTTTCCTGGTGTTGAGAGAAGAGTGATGCCCCTGTAGTTATCACAGTTGCTGAGATCGCCTTTCTAAGGTATTTTGACCAGAAGTCCTTCTTTCCAGTCTCTTAATACTTGTTCTTCATCCCAAATCTTGCTGAAGAGAATGTGGAGTATCCTTGCAGTTACCGCTACGTCTGCTTTCAGTGCCTCTGTTGGAATGTTGTCTGATCCTGCTGCTTTGCCATTCTTGATCTGTCTGATGGCCATGCTGATCTCTTCAATTGTTGGTGGGCCAACATTGATTGGGTGGTCCGTGGGTGCTGCTTCGATGTTGGGTGGGTTCAGTGGGGCTGGTCGATTCAAGAGTTCTTTGAAGTGTTCTACCCACCTGTTGCGCTGTTCTTCGATGTTGGTGATTACGTTACCCTCTTTTTTTCCACTGGTCGTTCTGGTTTACGGTAATTTCCAGATAGTTTCTTTGTTGTGTCACACAGTTGTCTCATTTTTCCTTCTCTTGCAGCCTTTTCCACCGTCGTTGCTAAATCTTCCACATATTTACGTTTGTCGGTTTTGATGCTCCTTTTCACTGGCTTGTTTACTTCTGTGTATTCAGATTGTGCCTTGGCTTTTTCTGCTCTTGTTCGGCTGTTATTGATTGCTGCCTTCTTGTTCCTCCTTTCTTAAATCCTATCCAGTGTATCAACAGTGATCCATTCCTTGTGGTGGTGCTTCTTGTGGCCCAGAACCTCATGACATGCTGAAGTGATTGCCTCTTTGATCCCCCTCCAGTTGCTCTTCATAGTAGTTCCCTCTCCATTGAGTAGATCGTGAAAGGCCTGGAACCTATTACTGAGGGCTGTCTTGAATTCACTGAGTTTGTCAGTATCCCGAAGAAAGGCCGTATTAAACTTTTATGCTGTTGTCCTCCCCATTGCCCGGTGCTTCTTGAGTTTCAATTTCATCTTGGCGACCAGCAAGTGATGATCTGATGCTATATCAGCTCCTCTCTTAGTTCTCACATCCTCCATTGTCCTCCTGAACTTATTGTTCATGAAGATATGGTCGATTTGGTTTTGCGTAGTGTGATCCGGTGAAGTCTATGTGATTTTGTGAATGCGTTTATGTGGAATATAGTGCCGCCTATTATCAGTTTATTGGAGGCATATAGGTTTGCAAATCTCTCACCATCTTCGTCCCTTTCTCTCAGTCCGTGTCGTCCCATGATGTCTTCATATCCGGTGTTGTCCATTCCAACCTTGGCATTTAAATCTCTCACCAGAATGTTCAGGTCTTTTGTTGGGCACTTCTCGACGATTGACTGCACCCTATTGTAGAATTGATCTTTAGCGTCTTCATTGTAGTCGTTGGTAGGCGCATAGCATTGGATGACGTTCATTGAAATGAATAACAAAAAGATCTAATCAATAACTTTCCTAATACTATGTAGTTTCAAAAATTAAGTTACCTGACAATCAATAATAATGCGTATAGAGAATCCATCTAGAGGAGTTAGAAAACTCTGATTCCAAACCAATGGGGCATATGGGTCCCAGAATCCCGAGGGGACAAATGGCGTATGAACCTGTTGTTAGGCATCGGCTACCATAGGACTTTATCTCTTAACGTTGTTCCATTGCCTTGTGGATTAAACATCTAAATCAGAAGGGGCATCAGCCTCTTGACTTCCGAAGGAATTCGGCTTTTACCATGTGGCGTCATAATTCTTCTAAATGAAGAACTTCTGATTCCCAGGGCAGATTTTAATTGGTTTGAATACTTTTTTTGGTTAGCGTTTCTTTGGCAAGTTAGTTTTCTACGGGATTGGGTCAGGTAATAGCCTACAGAAGGACTCCAGTTGGAGTCAGTTCTAATTATCACTGACACATATTTACAAGTGTTACTAAGCAAACTA